TTATTTATTTATTTATTTATTTTGTTTTAAAAAGATCCCAAAAACCACTGGAAATATTGCAGTAAAGGTTGATATCAGTACCCTCTGTAGGTCCACTCTCCCTAACGTTGCTGGATTTTATTGCTCATATTTTCCAGGTGATTTTTCTGCAGATGTTCAATCCAAACAAGTCCATGCCTTTGCTGGAGGGGCAATCATCCTGCCCTGCTCTATTGAACCAGCAGCTAGTTCAGATATTCAGACCGTGGAGTGGTCCAAAGAGGTAGAAGGGCAGATGCCAGCTATTGTTTTCCTGTACCGTGATGGCTGCGAGACCTTTGAGATGAAGGATTCTGACTTCGAGTACAGAACCAGCCTCATCATGAGACAGCTGCAGAAAGGGAACTTCTCATTAAGGATCGCCAATGTCAAGCTTTCCGATACCGGGACGTTCCACTGTTTACTCATCTGGAAGAATAAAACCAAAGAAGAAAGCATCGTAGAGTTGGTTGTTGGTATGTTTCTCGAATTTACCCTTTCCAAACTTTTTGTGTTCCCATTAATTAATGACAGGGTTGATTAACCCAGTGCTGTAAAGAAGTTGGTGACTTTTTATTTATATTGCACTTCTTAGAATCAAGGTTACAAAAGCCTTTATGTATGATGTAGAAAATTGAAAATAGAAATGGTTAAAAATTTCATTTTGTTTTTCTATTTTTATTTTTAGACAACTTAGTTGGAAAACAGCAAGTAGACATAAGAACAGGGGTAATTTGAGAAAAAGGGTGCCCTGATAAGAAGGATGGAACCTAAAACTATAAATAGTTTTTGGTGTAGTAATGGATGAAGAGCAAAGGCATAAGCATAGTGAAATCAAACAATTTCCTTGAGGTCAATGTGCTTTTCACAGATGCAACATGCATTTCTCTCTAAAAAAACCACCTCTATATGTAGTACTAAATCAGATCAGTTTTTAAAATGTCTTCTGTCTAACATTCATGTCACATTTTATCCAACTCTCACGTCATCATCCAGACTCTGGCATTCATATCAAATCCTATCCATCACAGCAGTCAGTTCTGCACAAAATCAAACTGGAAATGGTTCTTCTCTCCTTTTAACCTTTCTTCATCTTGTTATAACAAAATCATACTACTGTCTGTTCCTATGATGAAAACACAGAGATGCAGAGATCTGTTATTCCTCTCTAAACAGTGTGATGTCTACTCTGTCCTCCTGCACATGCGAGTCCTGTTGGGCTGAGAGACGTTCAGACTGGAGTCTAATGGTGGTCGCATTTAAGTAGACAGAAGGACCCATTAAAAAAAAAATGAAAATTAGAACACTTGCAGTGTAAATGTATCCTAAGATTTTAGTAGCTAATTTGGGGAAATTTGGAAAAGAGTATGGATGTTGAACTACGCTGCTCCAAAAAGTAAAGGGGACACTCAAATCAAACATCCTAGATCTGAATGAATGAAATATTCTCACTGAATATGAGCTGACAACAAAATCACCAAAGGAAATTAAATGTATTAACCAATGGAGGCCTGGATGTTGAGTCGCTTAGTTTAATGGCACTAGCGAGTCGTTTTTTTCAACAGTAGACTGTCAGGAAAGGGCGTATGAGAGAGGGGGAGAGACATGCAGCAAAGGACCACAGGCTAGATTCGAACCCGGATCGGCCGTGTCGAGGACTAAGGCCTCCCTACATAGGTTGTGTGCACTAACTACTGCGCCACCTGCACGCCTACATACAAAAGTGGATAAACGGACTACAGGTTAATCCGAACTTTCCACAGCCTGCATGACCTCCTTACAATGACTTGGCATAGTCCTGATGAGGTGGCAGATGGTCTCAAGAGGGATCTCCTCCTAGCCCTGCACTAAAGCATCTGCCAACTCGTGGACAGTCTGTGGTGCAACGTGATGCTGGTGGATGGAACGACACATAATGTCCCAAATGTGCTCAGGCTGATTCAGTTCTAGGGATCCGGTGGGATAGACCACAATTTCAAAGCCTTCATCATCGTAGAAACTCCTGACACACTCCAGCCACATGAGGTCTAGAATTGTCCTACATTAGAAGGAACCCAGGGCCAACTACACCAGCATATGGTCTCACGAGGGGTCTGAGGATCTCATCTAGGTAGCCGTTAGGTAGCTAATGGCAGTCATGCTACCTCTGGTGAGAACAAAAAACACCACCTCACACTACTACTGACCCATTGCCAAACTGGTCATGCTTAAGGATGTTGCAGGCAGTGGATCGCTCTTCGGAATGTCTCCAGACTCTGTCCCATCTGCTCAGTGTGAACCTGCTATCATCTGTGAAGAGTACAGCCCACCAGTGGCAAATTTGCTAATCCTGGTGTTCTCAGGAAAATGCCAACCATCCTGGGCCGTAAAGGGTCGTGAGCAAAAGCCCATCTATGGACACTAGGCCCTCATAGCATCCTCGTGGAGCCATTTTCTAACCATTGCAGACACACTCACATTTGTGGCCTGCTGGAGGTCATTGTACAGGTCTCTGGCAGTGCTCCTCCTGTTTGATGTTTTAACCACACCACAGGTGCTGCTAATATTGGCATTCAAGTTAAATCTCACTAAATACCTCCAACAACGCTACATCGAAAAGTTTTGATTTACTTTTGTTAAGTTGAGGATTTGCAAGCAGTTAATTCTTAACCAAACATTGCCTGTTTGATGGGGTATGAATATGAGGACTTTTCTCCAAGAAAACATCAGTTTGCCTGACTTAAAAGGCTCACAGCATGAATTTGAAAGTCATTTCAGGTATTTAATTTTTAAATTTAAAATTTTTAGTAAAGAAAGCTTATGCAAGATAACACTGCAATTATTTAGAAAAGTCGCTTTTACATGTTTTGTGTTGTTGTATAAATAGATTGAATCTATAAGTATAATTTGTTAGGGCCAAATATATGCATACTCTTCAACTAAAAGGTGAGCACATGGAGGTAACTGTTTCCGCAAAACATTTTGATTGGCTTTAGACATTTTTCTTGCTGTATTTTTAAGCAGTCTTATTTTAAGTAGTATTGTTGCCCTCTTCACAGCGTCGTCCTCGGATCCAAAGCTTTCTGTGGTTTCTGTGGACAGCAGAGGAGTTACTGTTCAGTGTGAAGCCCTCTGCTGGATGCCAGTGCCGGTGATGACAACTGTGGATGATGAAGGAAACAAACTCACTGAAGAAGAGCAGAAACAAGAACTAGATCCTAGAGGATGTTACAACATTAAGCAAAATGTCACTCTGCAAAATCCCCTAAGCAAGTAAGTTAACTTTAGAAACTCTTTATGGTGTTTAAACAGACTGACTCATTGGAATTCATGTAGATTCTAGATGAGCAGGGAAGGTGTTTAAATATGTGCTCAAAACTAACCACTAGAGGGAGCTGATGCACCATCAGTAGAAGAAGAATCATTGTACCCTGAAGAAAGCTTCAGGGTGTTGTTGTTTTTTTAATCATTTTTTTTATATTTAAAAGAATAAACTAATATTGTTTATTAAATGAATGGAAGTTGGTTGAATCTAATATCTGTAAATGTTGATGAGATCTGATCAATTTCCTACAGATTTAATGAAAAAGCAGCCTTTCCATTGGAATTGTCTCCATTTTTCAGGTTAAAGCTGCTTGTCTTGTGACATTTATTATATTTTATTATATTTTATTACAGGGTTGTGTGCAAAGTTCACCAGCAGCAAAGGAATCACAGCAAGATGACGGAAATCCTCCTTCCAGGTACAAACCTTGGATACTTTCACTAAATCTTTACATCAGAAACAGCTTTTTTTCCACCTCAGTTAATCTAATTTAAAAAGGCCTGAGCAAAAGCACTCACATTGTTTACTTAATTAAAACCAAAGATACACATAAACAAAAATAGATGAGTAAAATTATTAGTCTGAGAGAAATGATGATGTAAACGTGATTCGGTTCCACCCAGTCACCATTTGTGTCGCCAACTTCCCCTCCCCACAAAATATGAATACCTTTACAATGGGGCAGAGTTGCAGTGAGGGACAGTACATTTTCACAACATTTAGTTTTAATAGTTAAAAGCATTTGCTTGGAAGTCAGCGCACACTATTTCTTTACCCAGTTTTGTGTGTAAGCGAGCTATATACGTGAGATCCCAGGATTTGCAGTCTCCTGCTCCATCCTTGTCATTATAAATGTTTTATAATAAACACACTGGTTCCAACTGGACCGATTCTCTAAGTGGCTTTAATTTATTTCTGTTTGTTGCAACAGTTACTTCTTCTTGTTATTAGTATGTATAAAACTAAGGAGTATGTTTGGTAGAAGCAAAGAGTAGAAACTACAGATTTTTTTTTAAAATCTTAAAGGAAAAAGTGCATAGAAAACTACAGTACAGTACAGATAATATATAAAAGCTACTTAAGTACAGCAACGAAGTGTTTTTAATAAATATGCTTAGAATTATTTTTTTTATAAATTTTCTACTAAATCAAACCAGCTCTGCTTCATGGTTGGTTTTACTTATAGGTTTGTTTTTCCATGCTGAATGTTAAAAATGTTATTTTGTTTTTGTATTTCTTGTTCTTACTATAATTTGCAACTAAGCAATATGGTCAGCAGATTTCCAAAATTAAAGTAAGATTCATCTGCCTGACTTAATGACATGTAATATCAAATCATTACTGGATGTATTTGGTGTTTAATATAACTCGCCTCTTGTTCCAGATTTCGGGGAAAGCTGTGTTATGTCCTATCTCATCTCAGCGGCAGTAACGACTTTGCTTTTCATCACAGCTTTTTGCATTTATATTTGGGTAAACAAGAAACATTACAGTTCTGGTAAGTTGTCATCTTCAACTAAGCAGATAAAAATGTATAAATATATGCAACACCAGGGTAAACAAGCCCCTTTTTACTCCTAATATGTTTTTGTTTTTTTCCTAAAAAATATATAAAGTCGGTTGCAAACATTTTAAACACGTTAACACTTGATGTGCGTTACAAGCATCTTATTTGTTCAATTTTAACCCTCTGAAATGGTTTAATACATCTGAAAGACAATTCACAAAATACACTTAAAGTCTTCCAGAGATAAACTAACGTCAATGATTTTGTTTTTCCTTTAACTCCATACAGCTTAAAAGTGTGAATTTATGCTCTTAAGCTTTTTGGTGCTTCTTTGTTTTAATGTTTTATATTTTCATGGATATTGAAGGTGTTTGATGACTTGTATTAAATGAAAACTACTTCTGTCAGGAATGTGGTCATTGTCGAAACCCAACATGCAAACATTTCGCACCATATTCTGCTATTTAAGTTCAACATTAACCGAAAGACCTGTAATACTGCAGTGTATCAGTCAAATAGTAATTAGAATAATGTAAGGGGGGCGGTTGTGCTTCTTCTACTCAGGATAGTCTATGGCTACTCGTTTCCTTTTTTTTCTATGTTTAACTGTCATTTTTTAACTCTGACCATCTTGGATTTGTTCATACAGATGGAGGAAACCAAGAACAGATGACAGATATTTCGGACCAAACCTCAAAAAGCCAGTCCAATGAAACCCAATCCCTTCTTGACCAGCAGATTGCAGCTGATAACAAACAAAACAGCCTGACTGAGGAATTGAACCAACAAGTTAATGGTTTATAGGTATTTCCTGCATTTAATATCTCAGGTTAATCCTCTGACATCAACACTAAAGCTCTAAGGAAGGACAGTTAGAACACCAATGTGCAAAACCTGAAACATTACCTAGTTTATCCAAAAAGAGTCTGATATTAAAGCTACAGTGTGTAATAATTACAGGGATATACAGTCAGAAATCTAATATATTATACATAACTATGTTATTTATCATCATCTACGAGCTCAGCCACTTAACCTTAATATTTGCGTTGCCTTAGAATTCGTTATTAATAATTACATAGGAGCGGGTCTCGCAGCCATGGAGGCAGACATCTTTGCGCTACGGCAGCGCAGAGCCAACAAACTAGCGATTGCGAGATCGCTCATTACGCTCGAAAGTAACTACGGCAAGTTGAGAGAGATGAACTGAGACGGTACTGAACAATAGATGGCAGTATTATGCCTGAGAATACTATCTGTAAAATTATCTATGTAAACAAACCTCATCACTTGAGAAGGTAGGTGATGCGGACGTCGTGGAAGACATTTTGTCCCGTAACGCTCGCCGTACTGTTGGGGGGGAGAAGCTGTGGGGGGGAGATGTTCATGTTGCTGCGGTCTACAGTCTGGACGTTAGATGTCGCTAAAAATTACACGCTGTAGCTTTAAATCTCAGAGCCACAGAATACAAGGAAACCACATTCAAATGAGAAGCACATTCTACACTCTGCACTCCTACTTAGCTTACTTACTTTCTTTCTGTAGTGAATCCTTTAACCCTTTAAAGCCGGAACTATGAAATAATTGAAAGGACATTGAGATTTTTAAAAATGAGATTGTCATTAAACTTTTTGAAATCTGTTGTATAAGTTAAATTAGATCATTTATTTGCATCAAATGTGATACATTAGGCAATTCTGTATAATCTTTAATACATGTTCTGTTTACTGCATGTGTCTGAATATTTAAGTTAGTGTTTCAACAAGAAAAACATCACAATGATGATGCAGAAATCTCACAAACTCATGTATCAAATATAATACAAATGGCTTTAAAGGGTTAAACTAACCTGGTAAACCGGGGTTTTCTTTCAGTTTCATGATTTACATGCCTATTACAGTCTCAGTGTGGCTGAAAATGCCAACAAGACATCTAAAAGTTATAGTTGACAATATTTCCAACGATTCTTAAAATAAGTTTGATTTTTAACCTTAACAATGTTTGTTAATTTGAAACTTAAACATAATTTGACTCACTATCAGTTGAGGATTTGATTTGTCAGAAACTCTTAAGATGCAGTATATTAACTAAGTATGAGAGAAAGTGTTATTTTTTTTATCGTAATATTTATTGAAGATTAATGACAGAAGACCATGCACTATTTATTGTATGAAGGAAAATATTTTCTTATTCTTACCATGTGGAGAATGTATTTTTGTGTAGCCTGTGCTTAGAGCAGATTAAAATGTTAAATCCAAAGATTTGGTCACTGGTAGTCAGAACCGCCTTGCTACTGTACCTCTCTGTTCAAGGTCGCATTGTCTCAGTCAAATCCTGCTAGACTAAATTAATCCAAACTCAAGGTTCTTCCAAATAGAAGCAAAAAAAAGAAAAGTTATGCCTGGTTACTAAGGTAACCGAAATCTACAAGCAAAGTTTATATATATATATATATATATATATATATATATATATATATATATATATATATATATATATATATATATATATATATTGCATTGGGTATAAAAAAAATACAGAAAAAAGGGAATAATTGCACATGATATTTAATAATAATTGTACATTACATATTACACAAGTTATTGGCGTTGTACTGTTATGCTGTTATGGGTAATGAACGCCTAATTTAATATGACATGATTGAAACTCACCATCAGCATCCATCACACATGCAGTTTCTGCCAAAGCCTTTTCTATTCTTTTAGGGCCTTTATAGTACAGATAACTACAATTATACAAAATTGGTTTGTTCTCTACTTCCAAAATCAGCATCTCTTGGTCAATGCCTGCGATAAGAAGTTTCTTTTGAAGATGTGAGATGGGCTCTTGGAAATTGTTATGACTGGATTTGACGAAGCTTTAAAGCCTTTCAGCATAAAATAAACATTTTGATTAAGATGAATTGGAAATCTGCTTCCTGGTATATTGAAGTACCAATAGTTTGCATCCAATAATTAAATTGAAGGATGGGGAGAGTGGTGATGGAGGATGTGGAATCTGGGATACGGGTCGTGGTTAGGTTTAGGACTAAGGTGTGAATTGAGTTTTGGTTAGAATCGGGTATGTATTGGCAATGGTTACTGTCAGGATTAGGCCATAGAAATAAATGCAATATGAAAAGAGATCAATGCAAAATACCCGCAACATAGAGCTAAAGACCAATTCCCATGTATGTGGACTTTGAACAATAAAGATGACTTTAAATTGAACTTGGTGTAGGATCAGTTGTTAGAGTCCGAAAACATGTTTCCGACCCATGTTTCTTTCCCTTCTGATCATTGACCAATGATCGCAGTACAGTAGGTGTCCACAGGGTTCCCTGCAATAATAAACAAGAATCGACTATGAATGTTTTGAAAGATCAATGTTTGCTACTTTACATCAAGTAAATGGGTGCATTTGTACATTTATACTTCCGTACTCAATCTGTTTATTAAACAAAAACATCCTTTTAATCAAATCTTTGATCAAGTATTAAGTATATATTAAAGTGAATTTATGATGTGCTAAATGCCTTCATGTCTTTCACTATGTGTATCAGGTAAAAAAAAACAATTCACTCACTGTATTTTAAAGTTAAAAACCCATTTGTTCAGAACTGCCTTTGACTGTCCAACGTTAAGCTGTTAACTGATTTCTCATTTGTTTGAGGCCCAACTGTTTTATTTGTTGTTCTACCTGCGTTTATTATGTTTTTATCTTTATTTTCTTTTATTTTGCTTTTATGTTTCTTCTTTTTTATTGTTTTGTTAATGTAAAACAATTGTTTTTGTACTGAATTGTGCTATATAAATAAACTTGCCTTGTCTTATGGTTTCACAGTGAGAAGAAAGATTATTGATGCTGTATGATCGATGATTTGACACTAATAACAACAGGAAGTAACTGTTGCAACAAATAGAGATTATGTTACCATGACATTAAAGCTCAGACTATTCTCCTGTCCACCAATGTCAAAAAGGGACTATAGCTTCTTGGTTGACGACACTGGGATGCCTTTTTTTCCAACAACCTGCCTGTATGAGTCCAGTGTTTTTATTTTAATACTAAACAAAACAACACAACAAAACAGTATACACTGGGACAACGGCATGCAAATAGCATTGTTAGTTGTTAAACCTAGTCCTCCCAAACACATTTTCCTCCAAAGAGCATTTTCTTTTGTTCTGTTATCATTTTACGTAACAGTTTCTTTCAAGATCTGTTATTTATTGGGAATATATTTAAGTGTTAAAAAAAATGTTTTTATATTCTTCTGCTAACCAAAATTAAGAATTACTTACCGAAAAAAAAAGTAAGAAAAACATTTAGGCCTAGTCAACACCAAGACAAACATGGTATCTTGGGTCAAACCTGGCATAAGCAAATTTAAAATGTTCTCAACCTATTCAAAGAACTCAGTCTCAATGACAAACTTGGATAGCCTTAACGGGTAAAAGTGACTAATATATTTAACCAGCATGCCAGAGATCTCCCACAATGCAACATGACATTGACTGTCTTAATTCTCTACAGAGGTAGGCAATAACTTGCATTATAAGCTAGTTCTTGATTATAAAATGAATATATTTTAATTCTGATTGAAAAAATGTGGCTCACCAAAAACACGGTCAAAAGCAATCATCTAAATTCCTGCCCAAAAAGTAAATTTAATTGATACATTTTACTAGAATGATAGGACGCCTGTATGGGTAACAACTTCAGCCTACAGAAAAGAAAATTAATAATTGATTAGTAAGCCTGGTTTTCTGAAGGAAACTACACAGTTGGTTCACCAGCATTATCTGGAAAACTGTGTTTTGAGTTTTTTGGGGATGAAACAAACTGAACAGCTTAACATTTGTCCTCTGAAATTATACAAAAACAAGTGCAATTATTTTGATGACAAATAGTGACTCGTGGTTGCCCACCTCCAAGGCAAAAGAAAGGCACCATAATTTCCTCCTTTCTCAGACACCATCTACCTCCAGCGAGGGGAAACGGCTCTGCCATATCAAACCAGTTTAATTTTGAACCAAAGTTTGAATTTACTGACGGATATCACAATAAAGATTTGCTACCTCTGCACCTGTTCTGGTGTCTCCCAACCTTGAGAGATGATTTATTGTGGAAGTGGATATTTCTTATTTGATCTGTCATTCTGGTTTTTCCAAAACCATCAGCTTTTTTCAGGCTCAGTTTTGGTGGCCTTCTCTGTCTACAGTTGAGCGGGTGTTTGTGGCAGCCTGTCCTATCTGTAACCAGTCTAAGACGTCCAAAAGTCAGCCGTAGTGTCATATAGTCATGGAATTCATCACCAGATTACCTGGTTCCGGAGGTAACACCATCATCTTCACTGTTGCTGACATATTCTCCAAGCTGGTCTCCTTAGTTCCGCTGCCCAATCTCCCCTCTCCCAAGGAGATGGGGATGGTTCTCATTCAAGAGGTTTCTTCACATGGTCCTCCCTCAGACATAGTTTCCGATAGGGGTCCCCAGTTTGTGTCACAATTCTGGAGGGACTTCTACTCCTTGTTGGGGATCACTGTAAGCCTGTCGTCAGGCTTTCACCCCCATACGAACGGTCAGACAGAGAGGGCCAACCAGGAAAATGAAACCACGATCCATATTCTCTGTGAGACTGATCTCACTAAGTGGGCCAGTCACTTCTCCAGGGTGGAGCATGCAATTAATTCAGCTCCCTCTAGCACCACTGGGCTCTCCACATTCTTTGTTTTTTTTTGGGTTTCCAGCCAACGGTGTTCCTCATTTAAGAGAAAGAGTCCAAGGTTCCTTTTGCTCTCAGGTGCCAGCGGGCCTGGAAAAGAGCTTGATTGGTCAAGCCAAAGCTGCCAACTGTTGCAGGGTCCCGACACCCACTTACCAGGTGTGTCAGAAGGTTTGGCTTTCCACCAAGGACCTGCCCCTTAAAGTGGATAGTAGAAAGTTGGCCCCTCTCTTTATTTTCTT